GGGTTCCCCCCCCCCCCCCACCAAAATATGGAGAGGCTCACATTGTATGTGAACCCCCTCCATGTAAGAGGAGTGTAAACTCATGTGTATATCGTTATATACGTATAATATCACCTCGGTTTGTGTTAGAGAGAGAGAGGCTAAGAACATCCTAGATATATATAGACTTGGGTGGTAGGTTTATTTTGTATTGGCTTGGCTTGGCCCTTCACATTTTTCTGCCGCCTCTCTTAGTTCATTCCAAATTGAGTTGTTGGAGTCGAGATAGACTCCCTACATGTGAGGGGGTTTACGCATAATTTATTGTATGTGGAACCCCCTTCACGTGAGGAGAGTGTAAATCCATCTGTATACCGTTTTTTTATGTGTAGTATCACCTCGATTTGTTAACGAAAGGCAGAGGCTGAGAACATCGTATGTGTATATATATATATATATGGACTTGGGTGGTAGGTTTGTATAGGCTTGGCCCATCACATTTATCTGCCGCCCATTGGGGTCGTGATAGACTTAGAGACTAAACATATTATTATTTAAATTTTTTGTCCGATTTTGTCTATGGCTTTTCTAGGTTGACCCACTTTGAGACCCATAGGAGGCATGGTCAAAACTATTTTCCTACTCTAAAATCCATAATATACAATTCAAATCATTATTTTTTCTTGAAATAATTAACAAAAACATGACATTTACTTTATTCAATCTTCTTTAATTTATTAATACATCAAACATGCTAACAAAAAGTAAGTATGTTATACATGTGGACTTACTTATGGCCAAACGTGTTAGATTCTTGAGAGGAAATTTGGACAAAGATATGGAGCAGGTGGGCACGTAGGTAGTGTTTATCATCTTAATGGTCAAGACTACTTTTTCTACTCCAAACTACCATTTAGAAAATACTAATTAGTGCATTCAAAACTTCACATCGCAATATAATATTTTTCACAAACTTTTCATGTTTCTATATAGTCCTGAAGTTTACAGTTGGGTACTCATTTTAGTGGTCTTGAGGGAACTCGACCAGTAAATAAAAAATAAAAATACACCAAAAACAAAATTCAACATTTATATATTCTAAATTCATCGAAAAGGAAAAAGAAAACGGTATAAATAGAAAGACTAAGTATGATTTTTGTACAATGAGTTAGATCCATTGCCGCACATTGAATATGTATCCAGCAGCAGGATTTATCCCTTAAAGTTTCTATTAATTAAAATGTTACAAGTGTATTGAAGAGGGATTAATTTCCTTCGACAATTAATTAAAAGACTTATTCACTAGAACGGCTTATTCTGATGAGTTTGGATTTTATTGCATATCTGGCTCGAATAAAAGTCTATAAAATTCTTAGAAACACCAAAGAAATTAATAATAATAATAAAAAAAAAGGAGCAAATTCCAAACCTCCGATAATGAAAAGTCGATCCCGGGACAAGTTATATTCTCTTTTTCTCCACTCTTGGTGGTTCAAGACTACAAAAGAAAGAGGGAAAAAAACTGCAGAAATTTCGATATTCTTACGAGACGTCATCTATAGTTTGAAATCGACTACATGAATTCTTTATCTTCATTTTGTTCGATTCCGAAACGAAATAGTTACCTCTATATCGAAGTGTCTATAAATTCTTATAATCAAAAACAAAGCAAAGAGAAAATTTTCTGCAACAAATTTAGAACATCCTACAAATTAAGATAAGTCAAATCGACCATGTTGACAAGCAACTCCTACTTTCAATATATTGAGAGGAAAAACACTGCAGAAATTTTGATATTCTTACGAGACATTATCTATAGATTGAAATCGACTCCATGAATTCTTTATCTTCATTTTGTTCGATTCCGAAACGAAATAGTTACCTCTATATCGAAGTGTCTATAAATTCTTATAATCATAAACAAAGCAAAGAGAAAATTATCTGCAAGAAATTTAGAATTTCCTACAAATTAAGACAAGTCAAATCGGCCATGATGACAAGCAATTCCTACTTTCATTATTGAAGGGAAAAAAAATTGAACTTCTTTCGATAAATTTGGAGTCGACTAATGAATTCTTTTTCTCCAACACCACCTAGATAACTCATAATCAAACACAAAACAAAAAGAAAAACAGCAAATTTGGAGAGTTTTTCATGCAAATTTGGAGAGTTTTTCATGCATGAAAGAGATGAGAGAAACTCACTAGGTTAATCCAAGCAGCCAAAAACAGCAATGGAAGTAGACAGAAGAACAAGGAAGCAATAAGAGTCGATTTTGAAGAAGCTTTGTTCTTCTGAAAAGCAGACCTCATCCAATATGTTTTCATTAATTTCTCTTCACTGTTCCCTTTCATCTTTAATATATATCTTTCTGTCGTCTTCGCCTTCTATGGTAGAATCAGTCGAGGGGCGGTTCCACTCAGCTTATCTCCAACTCATTGCTATACCAAATTGTATATATATTCTTAGAGAGAGAAAACTTTCTTTAGAGAGAGAGAGAGAGGTATTGTCTAACACATGAAACGGATGCTGCTAGGACTTAATATAATTAATTAATTCTTTCTTATTGATCCCGCAATCCTTTGCCTAAATTTTATTGACCTAAGAGTCTATGTTCTTGACAAATTTGTAGTGACGTGGGCCACTGATTTTAGTAAAGTCAATCTTTTCACGTCTTAAATTAAATTAAATTAAATAGAATTAATTAAGGTTGAACACAATAATAAACAAGATGTTATGCATCTTATTTCTTAATGTTATCTAAAAGGTTTAATTGATATATTAAATATACCCACAAATAAAAATATGCTTCCATACACCATGAGAATTTTTAGTATGTATACATACACATACATATATATCGTATATTTAATTGTATTCTTAGATTTTTGCTTTCTTGTTAGTTTCAAAATTCTAGAAAACTATATATTATTACACGAGTTTCTTGAACCACTTTAGGATTTTATTTTTTTTTTTTGGCCGATTATTATTCATGTTATCCTCACATTAAAAATTTTCGAGCAACGTTCATAAAATATTTTATTTAAAAGAAAAAAAATCATTTTCACATTTTTTGAGTACTCTTAAGTCCATTTTCACTTTTTTTTTCTTAATTTATTTAAAAGGTTTAATTAATGTATTAAATATATCGAAAAATAAAAACTATGCTTCTATACACCATGAGTATTTTTAGTATGTAAAAGAATACATTGTATATTTAAAAATTTATTAATAAAATATAATTGTGTTCTGGAATTTTTATTTTTTTTTTAACTCCAATATTAAAGCTTTCTTTTTAATATGAGTCGAACTTCAAAATTCTAGAAAACTACGTATTATTACGAGTTTCTTGAAGCATGTTAAGATTTTTTCCCCCTTTTGCAATTATTATTCATGTTATCCTTTAAGTTTTCTAATAAGGGTTATAGAATTTTTTATTTAAAACAAAAATTTTCATCTTCACATTTCAAGTACTCTTTAAGTTCATTTTTCTTGCATTTCGACTCTTCATGATTGAAATCATTACTCCAAGGCTATAGATATGTGTCGTTCTCAAGGTGAATAGAAGTAACTCATGATTTTTAACCTCGAAATCTTAAGCCCCATAAATTGTCGAACAACACACGTCTTTTGTTGCCTCCCATGAGTGTCATGACATGCATGTTCGATGTCCTCCTGAATTGTTAGGCTACGCCAAAAGATGTGCATTGTAAAAGTGCAATTCAAGTGAAAGTTAAGAAAGTGATTTAGCGTGGAAATAGAGGATTGACATGTGAATTGGCTCCCTAATTCTATTCATAATCACATGCAAAGTGTTTTATATAAGAGCAATATTGCGTGACATGAAGAGTGAAGGAGTTTTTTTTTTTTTTTTTTTTTTTTTTTTTAAAACAAAAAATTTTTTTCCATTCTACCAAAAAAAAAAAAAAAGAAAAAAAAAAGAAGCTAAACTATGTGGAAATAATAGATTCAAGTACAAGCATAACACTTTTAATTCTTAGCAACAATAGTGTGGAATAATCACAATGTTATTAGCAATTAAATCTACAAAAGTTTTTTTTTTTTCAAAATAAATAAAATCTATGTGTAAATAGTAATTCAATTACAAGCACAATACTTCTAGCAATAAAGGTGTGGAATAATGGCTATGTTATTATTTATGAGCAAGGGTAATTAGCACATAATGTCTATACCTTTCACTATTATCGTAGAAAACTTTCATGCATTTCAATTTTTGATATTTTGATATTTCATTGCGTAAAATGTCATTTTCATCCATTTTTTCAATTAAAACTATGAAATGGCAAAGATACCAATTTATTTAAATAAAACAAAAAGAAAGAGAAAGAACTAATTGCAACCATAGTCTCAAATTTTTTTAAAAAGTTCAAATGAATCCCAAATAAATTATTTTAAAAGGGTATTAGCACATAACGTTCCTAAATTTCACTATTATTGTGAAAAATGTCTCTACTTTTAATTTTTAACATTTTCACCCTTAGTTACACCTTTAATTGTGCAAACACCATTTCTATCCAATTTCTCAATAAAAGTGTGAAATGACGAATATACCCCCTACTTAAGTAAAAAAAAAAAAAATTTAAATTAATTTTTTTTAATAGTTTATTTGGGACTCCTTTGCACTTTTAAAAAAAAAATCTAAATTTTTAATAATTTACTTGTTTGCACTTTAAAAAAAAAAGAAAATTGGGACTATGATTTCAATTAGTTCTTTATTTTTTATTTAAATATGAGAGTATATTTGCCATTTCATAGCTTTTTATTAAGAAACTGGATGAAAATAGATAGAAATGATGGTTTGAGCAATCAAATGTGCAATTAAGTGTGAAAATGAAAAATAAAAAATTTAAAGGTATGGAAGTTTTTCATAATAATAGTGAAAGGTTGGGACATTATGAATTAATTACCCTTTTACTAATTTATTTTGGATTCGTTTGCACGTTTCTAAAAAAATTGGGACTATAATTGCAATTAATTTTTTCTTTTTCTTTTTATTTTATTTAAAGAGAATGATATATTCGTCATTTTCCATCTTTTAATCTAGAAAATTGATGAAAATGACTTTTGTACAATGAATGGTAAAAATAAGGATGAAAATGTCAAAAAATAAAATGTGAGGATGTTTTCCTCAATAACAATCAAAGATAAAGACTTTATATATCAATTACCCTATTAGCAATATCATTTAATTCTTATGGATTCGACCCTATTAGCAATATCATTTAAGTCCCTATTTGTCAACCATTTTTTGACATTATTTTTTCTACAGTATTCATTTTCAACAATATATTCTTTATAAAATAATATTATACGTAAATAAAAAAAATTTCCTTCTTTTCTAACCACACATTTTAACATCAATCACTATTCTTTAATACATTATTCTCAAATAATGGGTGACAAACGCACCCTAATTCTTATGGATTCGATCGCCCAATTTCTACGACTTCTCTTAACTATTATTAAAGTCAATAATGTTGACAAATTTGTAGGGCCCTTCCCTAACATTAACACTATGATCTTAAAACTTCATGACGCTGAACTTAATAACTAATCTTTTGAAAATGGTATTAGACCAACCAGCTTGAAAGAGCAAAATCATATCAAAAACTCAAACAAATGAAAGTTGCCCACAGTCTGATCGAGTTTTCTGGTTCACCAATTTCATTTGTGCAAAAAATTGTTTCACAAAAATGCACAAAAAATTTCACTTTGTGCGGCCTCGTGTCATGATAAAAAAATGCCAAAAAATCATCCACTCCCAATGCTGTACTGTTATGTAGTGTTTCTGTGTGTACAGTTTCCATACACATAGCAATGCTCTAGTTACAAGTTTTTTGTTGGAAATGATCGAATCATGACAAGTGTTTATTATGTAATTAATATTGATATTTTAAATTGATAAAAATTAACTTATATTAGAAAATTTGTATTTATTTTTAATAATTATTTTAGTTTGAGTTAGATTTGGAGTGGAACTCCAATTAAAATCGAACAATTGGACAAAACCAAATATAAGTCCCATGAAATTGGGACATTGCCAAAATAATATAAAATGAATATCCACGTGTCATTGAGAGAGTCCGAACATAGTTTCGTATCTTACGATTCTTACCTGCCCTAGTACCTCGGGTTTTCAATACATATTAAATTAAGATAATAATTAAAAGATATGATGGAACACCAACTTCAACTTTCAAAAAATATGATAATAATTCCTAATTATTTATCTAATATTACCAGTTAGAATGTAATCCTCGATAGGGACTCGAATTTCTCTTAGTCTACAAAAAAAAATAATAATAATAAATAAAATAAAATAAAATAAACACTACCATCTTCTGAATTGAATGCTATACAATAGACTCAATTTATGTCAAAAAAATTGATATTCGCAACAGGAATCCTCTTTTACCTGTCGATTTGATTTATGTTATTATGACACTTTTCTTGCTTAATCTTTTCCAGTTCAATGCGCTAAATACGTCATTTGAGGGAACTTCAATTCCAACTTAGTAATGACAAAAAAACTTGCCTCGAATAGGTTGGCGGGGCGTCCCATCGTGGGGCACGGGGCGAGGATGCCCACCCCCAAACCCACGCCGTGAAGAAAAAAATTAAAAATAATTTTATTTCTAAACAATTCACCCGTTAAAAATCCATTTTAAATTTGTATTTTATTTTCTAATAATAACATAACTCGAAACTTTGAAAATATAAAAAAAATAAAAAAGGTTTAAATGGGTCAAAAAGTTGTCCCATCCCCGCCCTCACACTGCTCCAACCCTATTTAAGGCGGGGTGGGGGAGCCATGTCCCGAACTCGCCCGGTTACCATCCCTATTCCAACTCCACTCACCATCGGACAATATTCAAGTGGATAGTTTCATACACAACTTCCACAACAGAAGACAACGGATAGAAGGGGATGGCTTGTGATACAATCGACAATTTGGAATGATGAATAACACCGCCGAAGATAAGTTGATTTGCTTGAAACCAATATTCCAATGCAAATTATACTCATAATATAATATCTCAATAAATTTTCATCGATACCTAAAAAAAAAAAAAAAAACTAACTATAGTTGTTCTTTGAGTAATGTTATTTATAGTCAAATACTGCAGTAATAATTCTATGCATCGTTCGACCCGATTATCAACCCAGAAAAACCATTGGGTCATTAAGTTAATGGTTCAACCGAGGGTTAGTGCTTGAATAGGTGGGTTGATTTTAGTTTTTAATTTTAATTAAAAATATTTTTTAAAATATAAATATTATTTTATGTCATTTTGATAAAACTATATATATAAATTTGGCTCACATTTTTTGTTGCAATTCTACATTTATTATGGTGGTCAAGGCTTCAACCTTTCAATGAAGTAATGCGGGTTCAAGTTTTTTATTTCATGCAGCTTTGATATTAACTTTTTTTTTTTTTTTTATGTACCAATTTAATAAAAACCAGTTCGGTTTTCGGTTCACTAAACCCGCTCGGTTTAAGACATATATGAACCGATTTTGGAGATTTTTGTCCAATTTCATTGTAAATGGACCAAATAGCCTAGGGGAACCAATGATCTGGTCCGATTTTAATTACAAGAAATTAATGTCTCAAATAACAAGATATCACATATAATGAATCATCGATTATGAATAGCATTATTCTTGTTTTTTTTAACAAGAAAGCCCCATAAACACTAAAATGACCATACACCTCCTAACTACTGACATAAAATAAAAGGAGAGTCCCGTTCAACCTCTCAATATATTTGACAACTGATCACAACCTTTGAATACAATTAATATGACCATACAAGGGAAGACACCTGAATTTGCAAATTCAAATCTGCACGTATTAGGAGGCATTGCTTCGGTCTGATCTTTCTTATTTCAAATAGAACAGCTCTCCCTAAAACCTTGTGAATGAACTTGCTAGGGTTTTGATGGAATCAAGAAGATAGTGGTGTGGGTTTCTCCCCCTGCTTCGCCAGCAAGGAGGGCCGTGCTGGTTGTGTGGAGGTGGCAGCAATCTAGTGGGGAAGATGATTAGCTTTAATATTTTTCTTAATTTTTAGATTTTTTTTAATGATATGAATCACTACCACTAGGTTAATTGGATTTAAATGTTGTGATTATTTATCAAGTACATAACATCGATAGAATGAATAGTTCCCCATTTCAGAGAACATAAAACAATAAAAAATAAAGTCTATTCAACTAAGCCGGATCACATATACATGAGTTGAAATCTGTTATCCATCAACAAATGATTGATATATCATTTTACATTAAAGTGTCACCTAATATTAAGTACATAAATGGTAGTGAGAGAAAACTTATAATATGTTAATTTAAAATGATCTGTCAATCATTTATTGAGTGACCAGCAAATTTTGAACAATAGATCTCAACTCCACGTACAGTGGTCCCCTAATTCACTATCCTCATAGAAATAAGCACTCCACATCACACGACCTTCTAAAAGATATATGTCTGTAAATTGACCAACCATAGTATTTTCATATTTTTGCTTCTCAAATTGGTAGAAATGCAGTAGAATTATCTTTGAAGGTCGAAAAATATATACAAATAGAAAACTTAAGGACCATTGTGTGAGAAGGACTCAGAATTTTGAGGTTTCAAAATCCAGTTTCTAAAATGTGGGCTTGCTTTAAAGGCCTTTGAAGTAGCACTGTATTCTTCAGCTCTATCCTGCAAGAGATAATCAAAAGAGAAATTATTTACTTTTGAAATAAAATCAATTGCTATTGAATACAGTTGTTTAAATAGGCTCTTAAATTTCTACGTTTTTTCTGACAAGGCAACAACTTGGAAAAGCCAGAAAAGACTAGATTTCAGCATGAATCAAACTACAAAAATATTTTTGTTTAGAACTGCACTTCAACTATTTATTTTTCAATGATATTTAAAATCCAGATACAAATAAAAATTATATAATTATAATGTTAGGATGGATGAATGCCAAATTAAATTTTTATTTTCTCAACTCCATGAAATAAAAATCATTCTTAAGAATTCAGAGACGGAATTCGTCTACAACAACGAAAAAATATATACACCAACCATAGTTACAAACAGTAGGGTAGGAGGAAATATCAGAATCTGAGACATTATCAGTTTATTGAAAGCCCTAGAAGCATAGTTACAAATAAAGTACCAGCGGAGTACTGTTTTGTCTATTGGCAGCACAATACAACTGCTTTTATGCTGCATCAAATAATAGAAATTAAAGATCTACACATGGCACATCCATACGGCTTTGATGCTCGGACTCTTCGAAATGGTTGGAATACCCGTGTCGGACACGACACGACATGGGTATGGGATATGTGTCGAATCCTCCAAATTTAAACCGGACACTTCGCCCTTTTTTACTTCTTCTTTTTTCTTTTCCTTTTCTTTCCCGTTTCCTATAATTGAAAACTAAACCCGAAAATTGTATTTTATTAATCTTAAAATCTTATTTAATACTCATTTCCTTTTTTGTGAACTACTGATTTTAGTCTATTCAAAATGACATCTTAGGTTAATAAAAAAAATTGAAGCTTGAAAGACGTAACCACGTACCCGTGTCCGAAATTTGGATTCTTTTTAACCATGTCCCCGTATCCTACATTTTAGAAAATAAAAGATCCGACACTTAGATACGTACCCATACCCGATACTCATACCTGAATCCGAGCATCATAGCCATATGGGGAGCGGGAGTACATGAGCCCCTATTTGACAATTATTATTTCAGAACTCTTTAATTCTTGTACTTATTTTTAACCACATATTTACACAATAAATTATTTTGCACTTAAATCTAAAACTTTTACCTACTTTTTAACTAAATGTGCTCTAAAAAATCACCATTCAAAACTCCATTTTCTCATATTGGTCATCAAACAAGGGCTAAATGTGTGCTCGCAATTGCATTCAAGAAACCAACTACTAGGTTCTAAAAGAAGTGACGTTAGATTATCTGACACCTCTTCTAAATTGTTTTATGCTGGAGTTCTCTCTCTCTTTGTCACATATTATAGGTGAATCTACACATAATGTCAATACATTCAAAATTCTTTGGTAACCAATTATAGCCTTTGTTT